AGAAAAACCGTTTGCCCTGGAGGAAGGCGAAGAGGCAACAGCTTGTCCAACCGTCCCCAGGAGCTGCACAGAAGGCAGCTCAGAGTCGCCCAGAGCGCCGCCCCCCCCCTCCAGGGGACCTGCCTTTCGGTTTCATTGTCAGGACTCAAGGTCCCTCTTCCCCACCCCTTGGCCACGTCCGTTTCTCCCTTCTCCTCCCACCAAGTGACCTTCTGGGACATGTAGTCCGTTTCAGCCGCTTCTTTTCCGCATGGTCGTGTGATCGGCACCTCCCCCCTCTACGGGACCTCCACAAGATGTCTGCTTGCGCAACCGCGCGTTATTTTGCCCCGCGGAGCCTATGTTGTATGGCTCCTTCAGCAGTGGAAACTGGTCCCAGTCAATCTGTGTAGCTTGCTATAAAAACTTCCTTATACTTCACATGAAGGAAGCAGATTGACTTACTTCTATTTCTGACAGCACCCAAGAACCCTCTTGAATACACCCACTTTGCACCAATCTCCACAATGAAGGTTCATGGAAGGATGTTTTCAGGGGCTGTCCCACCACCGCCCCACCAATCCCATCTTGCTGGTGACTTGCCAAAGATCAAACCAGACCTAACCCAAGAAGCATCTTTTCCTGACTTAATACCGCTCTAGTTCTATTTGCTAGACTTTGGGAGTAATGCTTGTTGTCAGTCCTACCACCACTAGGAAAATTAGATCATCTCTCTCACCTTCTTCCTGCTCAGTGGAAAGACCACTCCCAACATCAGAGGCAGAAACATTGGAATACGCAGAGTGATTTGATGCCTTTGGGGACATGTTTGGTGTGCTGGTGGCAGAGCTCTCCGTCCTTGCACAGGAACCATCCAAGAAGTCTGCTTCAGGGGGCAAGTCGATGGCAGGATTGAAGGGCTGATGCTGCAACAGCTGAATCTTCTCCTCCAGCTGTTTCTGGAACTGCTGATGTTGTCGCTGTTGCTGATGGTGCACACTCTTAAGAGGGCAAAAAAAAGTCATAAATTGAGAATGAAATTATAAAAGTTTTATCTTACTGTCTGTGTGAGATTCTCCATCTATTTTTACTGCTTTTTATGCTTGCTTGTTTTATGACTTTGACGACTGATATGTAGTTTTAGAGTCAGTGCTGGGTAGATTGAAAGTTGTTGGTTTGTAAGCACCCCTGAGTAGTCTTTAGGACAAAAGTTAGATATAAATTGAATAATTAAAAGTTCTTCAAGAAAATGAGTATATCTTTGCTAATGAACCCACATGAAGATGAACTTAGTGCAGAGGAGAACAAACTAGTTTCTTCACTGCTAACAATTCAAAGCATGTTATGCTATTAGAATAACTGTATCAGCAATAACTGTTTATCAAGGTCTGCTTTAACTTTCACAGCAAGGCTTCCAAAACTCTACTTAAGGTTATCATACACTGAAAATAAATGGAAAATTCATGAGCAAACATGCAGTTCATTTGGAATGTATTTTCCAATTTAAAAGGTTTAAAAATTAAAACTGACTCTGACATTATTTATCACCAAAGGGCTTACTGTAGGATGCCAGTGGTCTCTCCTCCGAGCACTGATTATGTCTACAAGCAGTGGGTACTCCTTGACCATTTAACAGTAAAGACATACCAAGCTTGATTTGGAACTTGGTGCCAGAGTTTGAAATTAGGGAAACCATATTGTGATTGGCCCTCTTAGTCACTGTTTTAGAAAAGGTCGTGGTTTAGCTCCCTACCTCTTGTCAGGGGCTCCACATGGCTCTCATGCCAGGATCCACCACTGCTTTCTAGGGTTGCCAGGTCCCTCCTGGCAACTGGTGGGGGATGGAGGGGGACTTACTGGGAGGAGGAGGGAGGCCTGGCTGACGATGCATGTCTACGTCACTTCCGATGTACCTGGAAGTGACATCATCATCCTGCAACATCCAGGTGACGCTCTGGTATTTGGGCAAAAACTCTATGGTAAATTAGGCTTCTACTGTAGAATTTTTGCCCAAATACCAGAGCATCACCCCAACATCGCTGACGTGATGATGTCATTCCCGGGTCACGTTGGAAGTAACATAGACGTGTCACTGCAGTGTCAACTGGGCCTCATTCTTTTTCCAGGTAAGTCCAGCCCACTGGCTAGCTGATTGGCGGTGGGGCGGTGGGGCCTGGTGGTGGGGGACCCCTACCACCACCAGGGGTGTGTGTGTCTGGTAACCCTATTGCTCCCACTCTCTCTGGTTGTCAGCCAGGCAAAGGAAGGCAGTCTGATCTCCAGCTCTGTGTCGTTTTGTTTATTCCATGAAGACCCACCCATGTTATAATCCCAGATAGGATTTCTCTTTAGATAACTGGCTGCCTGCACCTTCTTGAACTTCAGCAGGGGAATTAGCAGGAGAGGGTTGGGAGGAAGGGAAGTCCAGTACAAATTAGCAGGCGAGGGAGGGCTGCAACCTATCTATTTGGGCTCTAGGCCCTAATGGGGAAAAGGCAGACCTTCTGCCTCAGAAGAAAGGCTTAGACCTAGCTGGTCTGTTTGCACTGTAAAAATCCAGAGCGCGGGGAATGAATGCAATTAAAAGGAAATCCCTCTTGGAATTAAGTGAGTGTGGGGAGGAGGAGAAGAGGGTCCAGACCAGAACAAGATTAGGACCCTGAGAATGTTATTGTGTCACAATGGTTAGAGGAAACTGATGTGTGCAGAAATTTTGGTTGGCCAAGGGGCATTCCATCAGCAATAGGAATAATTTACTGAGCACCTCTGTTTTCCTAGTCCAGTCAATACCTCTTCCCTGGATCGGTTTCTGTTGCATGAGTGGTATTTCCCATTCTGGACCTCACTTCACTCAAGCACAGTGAGAACAAAGGGGGAAGAGGCAAAAACCTGCAGCTTTGGGGTCTATTTTTTGGGGATAAAGGGACCAAAAATAATGGTCCTGAGTCTTAGTCTTCCCCCCGCCCTTCATTTCAGTGTAGTTAAGCAAGAGTAGGGGTTGGTACAGTTTATAGTCTGAACTTTAAAGAGCATCAGATTCCCAGGCGCTTTCCTGACTGCTGTGTATAGGCTTTTGAAAACCTGGCTCACAATGACTGCAGAACCACAGGCCGAGGGGTGTGGCCTACGAGAACCACCGGGAAGGCTTAAAACTGAGGGGAATCGGGTTGTGGTGGAGAGTGCAGGATTTCATTAAGGGCCTTCCTACTTTCTCCCCTGCCCCGATTCAAGTACTGCCCAGTGCAATTCTCAGAATTTCTCTCATTCTGACAAGAATCTCAGAATATCTAGAAAATCGAACAGACAGTGAAGTCTTTTCCTGTACTTTACTACTGTGGTGTTAGCCACCCAAAGGGCTCTGCAGCAGGATATCAATCTCAAACTAATGCCTGGTTCCTTCTGTGTCCTCTGCGTCAGGCTATGCTGCTGAACAATGCTATTACGTGTGCAAGAACCTCACAACACCAGCCCATTACCATTGGATACGTGATGATAAAGGCAACCCAGCTAACAAGTAAGAACGTGCTGAGGATGACGGTGGCCATGTCCTTCAGTATGGAATCCACAGGAGCTTCCGGTTGGGGCGCAGGTTGGCTGAGCATCTCTTCAGCATCCTCTGGGATGGGAGGGTGCAAGTCTTTTGCGGAACGCCCAGCAATATCAATTGCCTAAGAGATACCCAAAAGCTGTTTTAGTTCAATAATCATAGTTAATAATAATATTTATTGTATGGCATTGTGTGTAGAATAGCCAGGAGATCCGAAGATTGTCTGGCAGCCGCGAGTTCTAGCTCTTAGTGTTATGCACCACTAAGAAGTGAGCTACTTTTGTTTTAAGGGTCTGAGAGAGCTCTGAAAGAACTGAGAATGACCCAAGGTCACCCAGCTGGCTTCATGTCGAGGAGTGGGGAATCAAACCCCGTTCTCCAGATTCAAGTCTGCCGCTCAGAACCACTACACCACACTGGCTCTCTGCTTTAGTTCAAAAGTCTCAACACAAACGACTTCCACCATTACAGTTGGCCAGATGCTTGTAACACAGATTTATTAGTAACCATTATTTACTGAAAAAATTACAGTGTGGGTCCTAAACAATGATTTCAATAGACTTAGGAGGGAGGACCATTGCACTGTTCAAGACATACTTACTAGAATTCTTAGGAAAAACTGTTCAGTGAACAAATAAGCAAAGGGGACTGGGGAAAATGTATGGATTATTTGTGCCCGTGCTTCATTCCATTGAAGAGGTTATGTAAAGGAAGGGAGCTCATCCTGAACTTTACACGAGAAATCTGAACTATTCACAGCCTACTCTTTTTATACAATAAATACTACTTCATTTTCATAACACTTTTGTTAGCAAGATTCATTTATTCACAGACCTCTTCAAAAGCAGCTTTGTCTGAATCCGCTGGGATAATATTTTCTTGCCGCTTTGGCAAATTGCTTGGAAATTTCTCCAGGATCTTCGTAGGGGCTGACAATGGTGTCTCATGGTGCCCTTGAAATCAGAATGCAACTTGTATTATACCCAAGAAAAAGAAACTGTCAGTAGTATCGTCTTATGGCAGACTTACTTTAAAAAACAAATAAACGTAAAATATGGAAATGAGGCATTTTCTGTAATCATAAGAAAAGTCCTGCTGGGTAGGAACAAGTGACCATCCAGTCCACCCAAAAAATTAGTAGAAAAAGAAATTTCCCTATCATGTCTTTGTGGCCTTTGTACTCTTTCATTTATGCATTAGGAATTGTAAAGAACTTTGCACACTGAGAAAATAAATAGGAAATTTCAAACAACATTCACCCTAATTTAAATTTGGAGTTCGTCCACCAGAGGGCAGCGCATTACAAAAGAAATCGGATTACTTTCTGATACCTATTAAAAGCCAGTGATTCCTCAAATAGTTGAGTCTGTTCTTGTGTTTAAATCCGGAAGTAAACTTTAGGTCAGTACTGGGGGTGATAACACATTCGCCATTGTCTTCAATGGTGACACCACGTGTTTTTGGACCCTCTATCAATGGTATTGCACTTCCTCGGGGCTAGAGAGAGAGAGAGAGAGAGAGAGAGAGAGAGAGAGAGAGAGAGAGAGAGAGAGAGAGAGAGATTGTTAACTACTGTTCTTTGAATATAGAAATGGACCATTTAGTGCTTTAACAAAAGACATAATAAAAATCTGTATGATAAGCTACTTGGATTTATTTGGAGCTTAGCTTCATTTTACACGGCACAGGGTCATGCCGTTTTTTGCTGCCTATTGAAGGCTAGCAAACAACCAGTTCAAAAAGTATGGGCCATAAAGAATTTCCCTTAGTGACATATGGTAAGCTGCCCAGAATATAATGTCAGGTATTTTATTGCACTTTACCTGGGCCATTAATTCAAGGTTGGGCACTGCAAAGATGTCTTTGCTTTAGCCCTTTTAACTGTGGCACAGAACAAAGTCAGTTTCTGCACCTCGTAACAGGAAGAGCTTTACTGATGGGGCTGATAAGGGGTTGTGGATTGATGATGAGTAAGCACAGCTTTGGGAGCAAGAGATGCGGCTTGCTACAGTCTCTTATTTCTGCTTTCTGTTGCTGTTTAAAATGGCTGGTGCTGTTTAATATGGCTGTGATTGTCGTGGGGGTAGAGTGTTTGTTAAATCAGGATCTGGAAGACACAGATTTGAATCCATTTTCTGCCATGGAAACTTGCTGGGGGACCTTGGACCAGTCTCTCTCTCTCTCCTTCTCACAGGATTGTTGTAAGGATGAAATGGAGAAAGGGAGAATAAGGGCATTAGCAATTTTGGGGCATCCTCACCAGGGATAAAAGCAGGGTATAAATACGTCAAGAAAGAAAATATTTTTTTCTTGCACCACTGTCTGATGGTATATTTACCTTCTTTTTCTAGTAGGAAATCAGCCGTTGATTCTTATCACACCCACTGTCAAAGTTATTTCCTCTAACTGGACAAAATACAACTAAAAGGGGTGAGAAGGAAGTCAAATGAAGGGCCAGTATTAAAAACCTAGTTAAAACTTATAATATACAAAATACAAATATTTATTAGAAAGATAGTTAAAAACATACATAAGGGCCCAGAGAAAGCCTCATAAAAACTATAGCCTAAACACAAAGGCCAATGCACATGACTTGATGCGTTTCTGCCCTATTGGGGCCTTCTTCAGAGGTCAAACAATATTGAGGTACACATAACTTAAATACATATTGCAATAAGATAACCAATAAGTGAATAATGGACCAGGAAGAGGAAGGCTGTAGAGAAAAGAGATAAAAAGAATATTGAATAAGGATGATCAAATATTTTTAAACTTACAATATGTTAAAAATGGCTATATTACTTACTTAAGCAGCAAAATCTAAAGACACATGACAAAGATGTTTGTGAGGTCTCAAAAGGTAAAAGTCATGGGTCTGGTGCCAAATGCATAGTTGCTGTATTAGAACATCTAAAAGATATGTATAAAAAGCTACTGCAGTACATAAAAGCCAATATAATTGCAAAGATAAAAACTCAATAGTATACTCTTCCTGGTCCATTACTCACTTATTGGTTATCTTATTGCAATATGTATTTAAGTTATGGGTACCTCAATATTGTTTGACCTCTGAAGAAGGCCCCAATAGGGCAGAAATGCATCAGGTCATGTGTATTGTCCCTTGTGTTTAGGCTATAGTTTTTTACGAGGCTTTCGCTGGGCCCTTATGTATGTTTTTAACTGTCTTTCTAATAAATACTTGTATTTTTGTATATTATAAGTTTTAACTAGGTTTTTAATACTGGCCCTTCATTTGACTTCCTTCTCACCCTTTTGGTTCTTGATTCCAGTTTTTGGGTCAGGTTTGTTTTCCTCTCCCTGTGTCTTACAAAATGCAACTAAGACAGATGAGGCATCAAATTATGATCTTAAATGTCTATATTCCCCACAAGCCCCCTTCAGGCTGTTGTGGACCTCTTCTCTCAAACTGTAATACAGAGGGGAGGGCCTTGGGTATTTTGTTTTCAAAATAGGACTTGGTCTCTGCAGAAACAGTGTTTATCCATGACTTAATTCTTGTTGTTTAAGGATCTCTAAAATTTTCACACAACACTGATTTACAGATACATAGCACTTCATAGAAAGGCAGATATATTTTTCTTGAAAGTTTTCTTAATTAAAAAGGTACAGTATTTTTTTTTCATTACTAGTAACCAGTGTTCCCTCTAAGCTGAGTTAGTGTGAGCTAGCTCACAGATTTTTAGCCTCTGGCTCACACATTGTCTTAGGTAAGGAAGGATGGCTCCAGAGCAAGCTAATTTATGCAGTAGCCAAATGGCTCACTCACAGCTTTAATGCCAGTAGCTCACAAAGTAGAACTGTTGCTCACAAGACTCCACAGCTTAGAGGGAGCATTGCTGGTAACCAGTGTTCCCTCTAAGCTGAGTTGGTGTGAGCTAGCTCACAGACTTTTAGCCTCTGGCTCACACATTGTCTTAGGTAAGGAAGGATGGCTCCAGAGCAAACTAATTTATGCAGTAGCCAAATGGCTCACTCACAGCTTTAATGCCAGTAGCTCACAAAGTAGAACTGTTGCTCACAAGACTCCACAGCTTAGAGGGAGCATTGCTGGTAACCATAGTTTACCACCCCGTTCCCTTTCCCCAAGGCATTCAGAGCTGCAATACGTGGTCCTCTCCCCTTCCCATTTTATCCCAGCATTGACCTGGTTAGGTAGCCTAGGCTGAGACTGAAACAGCCAATGTCACCCACTGAGCTTCCTGGCTAAGCAAGGATTTGGCATCTATATAATCAGGAGAGACATCCTGCCAAAGGGAGTGTGGCAGTGACGCTGATTATTTCTCAGGCAAGAATGTACATGATTGCTTCAGCAGCAGTCAAACCAGATATGGATCCCAGTTCTGAAGAAATGTGGAAAGTGTGTCTGGGGATTTTAATTTTCAAGAAGAACAGCTTACCATAATAGCCACCCCTTCGTGAACCATTGATGGCGATGCATACAAGCTGGTGGAATATTTCCCCACATAGAGTGTTGGCCTAGAAGCACAACAACAGGAAGAAAAGTTTACAACATGATCCTCTGTTTAAAGCCGCACACAGCCATCTATAAACATAGGTATATATTATATGATATCCTAACGACATCGAGCTGCTTGAGTGGCCAGAAATATTCTTATTGCTCAGAAAATAGCATACTGGTATGTCTAAAAAGAGAAAAAAGGCACCTTATCTGATTTAAGAAAGCAGCTTCTTGTGATACAGCCTCTACGTGGAAGCCACAAAAAATGCCTTTGTGTAGCAACAACTCCAGGAAAAAAAATCATTTCATTGCACCCACTGCCCGATCCTTTCAGAGGGCAGCCACGTTGGTCTGCAGTAGAGGACCTAGATTTGAGTCCAGTGGCACCTTAGAGTCCGGGGAGATTTAGGGGGGCGTCAGGCTTTCCAGAGTCAAAGCTCCCTTCTTCAGATAGATGCCTGATCTTTGTTGATGTGACGGTGTAGTGATAAGGCTCACTGTTGGATGGATGTTTTCTATTGTTTGACATTAGACCTCTCTGTATAGACTTGGTAATTTCTTTTTAATTTTTTGTAAATAAATAATTTTTTAAAAAAATGATAACGCTCACTGTTTGGAATTGATAACCATGTGGAGGGACTTTCAAGCTGTCCACACAAGACTACTACTGTCATGCCTGCCCTTGACTCAGCCCCAGAGCCAGCTCCTGACAGCCTAAGAGGGGAGGATTCAGTGCCTTTAAGAGCCGAAGAAGCATCAGGATCTCCACCTACTGTAAGTACTGAGGAGGATACACAGCAATCTGAGTCAACTACAGGACAGTTTACACCTGGGATTGAGTGGGCCATAAGCAGCTCACCACCTGCATCTCCCCCACCTGTACGTAGGCTTAGGGATCAGAGACGTCAGGAGCTGGCTAGCTGACGAAAAGAAGCACGTTCAAGAGGGCGGAGATCCTTGAGCCCTGAGTTTTAACAGCAGCCAGGACCTCGCACAAAGGTGCTAATGAGTTAATGGGCCAGAGCACTATTTAGTAGGGCCTCTGGCCATGAGCAATTTGTGCTGGCAACCTCGTTCGTAGAACCAGAAGCTCTGCACCATGATTCCTGTTTGACTCTGTGGCTTTTGGACTCGGCTTGTGTTTGGACTGCTCTGGCTCCTGACTTCCAGTTTTGAACCTGACCACGCCATCGGGCTTGCTCCCTGTATTCTGACCTCTGGTAACATTTTACTATGGCTTTGTCTGGTGTTTTGGGACTTGTTTAATGCTCTGCTGACTGCTATCCCGGCTGACCTTTGGACTTGTATTGTGACTCCCCCTGTCTGCCTGCCACCCTGGCTGTGACAACTACCCTCAAGAGAAGTCCAATTCACTGTGACCCCTACATAACCTCAACTTGATATTGTCATTTATTTTAATGGGGAGGGATGGGTTCTTGCTTGGTTTTCTAAATACAAATCTATACCCCACTTTTAAATTCCAAGAATTAAATATATGAAAATATTTTTGCTACATTTTAATTCCCATTACATACATTTTCCAGATGACAAAACCCCCTAGATTAGCATTATACACAATCTAACGTAATAGCTTAAAGTCTTCCTTTCTAGCAGAGAGAAATTCTTATGCTGGGGGTAGATAATCTGTTTGCCCCTTTTCCGTTTCAGTGCTGAAGGACAAGCTCTCAACCTACAACTAAATTAAAACTCCCTTCTAATTCACACACACACACACACACACACACACAAACCCTCCAGGATGACTGCAGAGAGAAGAATATTCTTACTGGAGTTTGCTAAGAATTCTTTTTTGAAAAGAGATATATAAGCATCCCTGTACAATGCAACTGAAAGAACGCAGCATCAACAAAAGAGATTTAAAAAGTCCTCTGAAGTTCACAAAATTATACAGGTAGAAAGGCAGAAGAAGTGATGTGCCGATACTAGCCAATAAATAGTTTCAGAGCACAATTGTGTTGGTCTGCAGTAGAACAGCTGCATTCCCCCAGGAAGCTCTGACTCTCGAAAGTGAATACCCCCAAAATCCTGTTGGTCTTTAAGATGCTACAGAACTTGAATCTAGCTACTTATACAACATGCTCAGGGCACCATGCTCTACATAGGTCTCCAAACCTTAACTGAAATGGAAGTGGTGGTATTGGCTTATATTTTCCCAGGGCTAAAGTACTGTGGTTTGACTACTGAGATACCCCTGCACTGGAAATCATACCTTGGAGAAAGGTGTTTGGACTGTCAGTCAGGCCTAACCCGTGTTTATGGGTCAGGCTGGGAATTCCATACTGAAATTTAATTCCCAGGCACATGGAGGGTCAGATTGTGACCATGGGATGTGTGGTTAAGGGTCTTAACCTCCTTCCCCATGTCACTTTCCCAGTCTGAAATGGCTCTAGGGCGTTGCTAGTAGGGTCGCCTATAAGTTTCTCCAACAGGCAAAAAGTGGTTCCCTAGGGTCATTTCAGCTGCACAACAGTCCTAATCAAAATTGGTCCCCTGCTCACCAGGGAATTACATTTCAGCACAGAACTCCCAATGCATGTCTGACAGTATGACCTGCAACAGACCCATAAACAGTGGAAGGCGTAGATAGGCCCTGTGACAATTGTGTAGTACCTTGCACATTTTTGGTGCTGTAACACAATTGGGAATTTTTACAAAAATCAAGCAGGATACAGTAATAATAATAATAATAATAATAACAACAACAGCAACAAAAGATTCAGCCCAAAAGACACTAAGATTGTGATCCTATTCAACACACAAAGATCTCAAATCTCTCAAAAACACAATCTGCAGAACCAAGGTACAACAAATTTTAAAATCAGACATTCTTTGTAGGCAAAATAAGACCATACTTAAAACATGTGCTCCTTCCCTGCAAGAGAATAACTGAGTTGACCAGACATAAACACATTTTTAAACACAAAACTTAATACTCACATCAATTTGCTCTTGGCCTCTGTTTCCTTAGGAAAGGGGTATTTCCACTTTGTGATGCGTCCAACTTCACCAGACATGAATGTTAGGTACCGCAGTGTTTCTATCCCCACGTTGGTGTGCATTACTTTCCATAATCCCTCCCGCTGCCAAATATAAAAAGCTACAACGGGGGAGCCATAATTCTGGATCCACAGGACGTCCCCAGACTCGCTGTCCACAGTCACCACCAGTCCATCTCCATTAGAAGCAAAATGGGACATTTCTGGAAAGCAGACAGAGGCAAACTATCACTTGGAGCTTTCACCTACTCACAGTTCTGAAAGTGTGCCGTATCAGCACGTTAGTCTTTAATTAGGACCAAAGTTCTTACTGTACTGCGCGTCTTCATCAGGCAACGTGGCTGCATAATCGAAGTAGGTGGCATTCCATCGGAGCTCTTTACTCTTGGTATCGTACATCGTTATGGTGTACTCTGTTAAAAAAGAATTAACAATGTGCACTGTGTGGGCCAAAAGAGCCAAGTATTTCTCTTGTGAGACAAGAGAACAGTGCACTGTGTGGGCCAAAAGAGCCAAGTGTTTCTCTTGTGAGACAAACCCTCAAAATAAACATCCCATCATCAAACAGTTCCTAAGGTTTGCATTTTTTCCTGGCATTGGGCAGATTTGGACAATTATCTTGTGTTGTTTTAAAAAGGAAAATAAACTTTTCCTCTGTTAGAATTTGCTTTTATGAGTTCTCTCCCCCACCTCAAGTGTGAAACCATTCCTGAATATGTGCAAGCAACAGTATCATAAGAGCCACTGATTCTGGTAATGGTAACTTCTCCAGTTTTGGAGGCACGTTTGCCAGTTTCTGAGACTGAGGAAGTGACAATGGCCAGGAATCTACAAGCTCATGGCTCTGATTGAAGATACAGTTTCGAAGGAGAACTTGCACAATTTTTAAAAAAGATGTATTGTGTTAGGTAAAGGTTCCCTTGCTCGAAAGCCAGTCGAATCTGACTCTAGGGTTGTGGTGCTCATCTCCGTTTCAAAGCCGAAGAGCCAGCGCTGTCCGAAGCCGTTTCCGTGGTCATGTGGCCAGCATGACTAAACACCAAGGCGCAAAGAACGCTGTTACCTTCCCACCAAAGTGGTACCTATTTATCTACTTGCAATTTCTTGCTTTCGAACTGCTAGGTTGGTAGGAGCTGGAACTAGAGATGGGAGCTCACTCCGTCTTGCGGCACCCAGGTCTTGAACTGCTGAACTACTGACCTTCCGCAGCCTGAAGTTCAGCGTCTTAACCACTTAAGCCACCATGGTAAATGTCTTGGAAAACCAGGTTGAGACAGAGACAGATTAGCATTTTGGTGCCTTCTGCGAATTAATTTAGATGGTACCCACCTCTCAAGCTGGACAGGATGTTCCCAGGCCTCTTAAGCTCACCCCATTCTCAATACATTTCTCAGTAAGCACAAACTACCATCCCAGGCAATTCCTTGATGGCTGGCAACTGCTCACTCATCTTCTACTCATCACATTTACCCACAATGACTCCTTATTGCCCCTCCTGCTACCACTTGGATTTTTGGGCTCCCTCCAGCTATTTTCTCAACTCATTTTATATTCATAAGTTGTACTGAACGTAACACTGTTGTTGACATATCAACACTCCATCTTTCCCACTCAGATAAGCATCTAGTTGGAAGCTCTGTTGTATCTGCTGGGGTGTGCATTCCATCTGGTCTGGGACTAAAAGCTAGCCAGTAGCCACACACACAGCCTTTGAAACTAGGCCATCTTACTATGGCAGGAATCTAGGGGAGAAAGCCACAGCTAGAAGATGTTAGGAATAGCCCATAAGGAAGTCACAGCTCTGCAAGCATAAGGGAAGCTCAGTGATGAACAGTCATGTCTCCACAGACAGAGTGCAGAAGACAAAGGTAAGGACCCAGGTGAGTTAAGCGACATGTTGAGGAGGCCAGAGCACTCAAGGCCCTTCCTCACCACAACAGTAAATTTAAAAACAAAGCTAATCTAACCTCACAACTTTCAGAAAACAAAACACAGATTCTTAATAAAGACTGTTAAAGACAAAACCAGTTTTGAAACTCAAATGTCAGCAGGGATGTGGAAGCTACTCAGTGTTTTTCACTGAGTGCTACATTTATGGTTGCTTCCACATAGGCATGATTCCCTGTTCTAGTCTCATTGCCAGGTCTCCTATGCCTACCTCTGGTCCATGGGGATGCTCCTGTACTTTTTCTGCACAAGCAATGTACCTCTCTCTTTTTTTGGAGGGGGTGTTAAATCCCCCTCCATTTGGGGAGGAGTTTACATTTTTCTACAAGCCTGAGGAGTCCCCCAGGTCTGCAGAAAAACACCCCTATCTGAACCTGGCCCCATTCTCTGGATCTACAGGTCTGCATGGGGAACCATTCAGCATTAGATATAGGATCGAAAGACGTACATATTGTTTGTCATAAATACATCAGAAGCAGGAAACCAGGCAAGAAAGTGCTTAGGCACTCAGATGACAAAGGTAGGAAAGGATTACCATCATAATATGCTTTGGGAAGAAATAACACACTTGCACTTCCACAAAAGCTTTTGATGGAAACCTCCAGAAAAAGCTCTTCAGTAAACCTAGCAGGCATGAAGGGAAGGAACTAATTGTACTGATGCCAGTTGTATTTAATTTATTCATAAATAATCTGCAACCAGGAAAGGTGCAGTACAACATTATTTGTGTGCAGTCTGTGTGCAGCACCACATTATTACCCAAACAAATTACAAGGATCTCTCCAAATTACATACATGGGCAACAAAATGGAAAATGAGGATTAATTTGAATAAATGTAAAACACTGCACACTAAGGCAACCCCCTCACCTCCAAACACCCCTAATTTCACTTACACATGGATGGGGTTCTGAACTGGGAATAACTAACCAAGAAAGAGATCTGGACTTTGTGGTAGAGATACATAAATGACAATGTCGCCTAAGTAATATGGAAAATTTCATATTAGGGATTCTAAGGAAGAAAGTGGAAACTTAATGGACAGTATTGTTAAGGGCTTTACATAAATTTATGGTGCAACTGCATTTGGAATACTGTCTGCAACAGTTCTTGTTACCCAAGCTCAAAAAAGACATTTCAGAAATTGTTTTTCTAAAGCAAAGCCATCATCTTTAGAAAGTAAATAAACCTAACGGTTCACAAATTCATCTCTTTCAGACTTTATTAACAGTTAAATTTTAAGCGGCAGATGAAAAAATATCTTACCTGTTCGTCCAAGATAAAGGAGAGATGTAGACGGGCAAAGGCTTTCGGCAAACGAAGAGGTCAGAGTTTGTTGTTTCTCCCCCGTCATGAGGTCTATCACATACCAGCTATCCTGTTTCTTTCCTAATCGGGAATTATCAGCATTTCAGTATCATTAAAATGCAATTATACAAATGTCATCTCCCCACCTGACCCCACTACAAGCTCCCCCTCTATAACCAAATATACAAAAGCAACCTTAAAGAACGTAAACAAAATCAGTTTATATTTATATTTATAGTGATTATCATGCAAAATACAAAGTGCGTTATTACATTAAAAGACATACAAATACAAGCGGGATGTAAACCCTGCTGAAATATAATCTTAAAGGGACCGAGCCAATCAACAATCCTCTTAGGCTCTTTTCCCCCTCTATAAACAACTGGCTCTTCAAAATTTAGTGTTACAGGAAAACAGAGTTTTGTATCCCTTTTTCTTTTCCATCCTTCATGAAAAATGAGGGAACTGAAGGTGATATACACAGCCCAAGTCCACTCAATGAGCTGAATGATGAACCAGAACTTAAACCCAAGAATTCAAGACCCAACATAACCTTGCTTAGGCTTTGCACCTGTTCCCTGACTGATATAGACTCTTTGGAGCATATTGCCCCTTCCATATGGCGAGCCGAAAGGAAATCATCGGGCTGTTGCTGGAAAGGTTTCCTGGTAGGTCGAACAAAATTAAATTAGAATACCTGTTGTCGGATAGGAATCATCATACAACAAGACAGGTGGCTAGGTTCTGCACCCAGTTATATAAGGAACACAAAAAGCAAGGCAAATAGATCGTATTTCTACCTTTTAACAAAAATTGTTCTAAACTGATTTTTTAAATGGTTTAAAAGGTTTGAACGCTAGTTCTACCTATTTCCATTATATCTTTTATAACTGTCAAGCTTTTATGTTACTACGAGTTATTTCCTGGTTCATACCAGTTAGGATACTGGCGGGAGTTCTTCTACATTGTCTTTCAAATTGAGATGCACTGGTCGATGACTGTAATAATAAACTGACTGACTGACAAGAGACAGACTCAGAGGGCAGCCATGCTGGTCTGCAGCAGAACAGCCATATTTGATTCCAGTAGCACCCGAGAGACCAACAAGATTTTGGGTGTGTAAACCTTTGAGAGTCAAAGCTCCCTTTGTATCTGACGAAAGGTGCTTTGGCACTCAAAAACTTATATCCTCAAAATCTCATTGGTCTCTAAGTTGCTACTGGACTCGAATCCAGAGTACAGGGGAAGATCTACATTAAGGCAAAGATTTACTTGACAATAAAATGGATTTATAGCTAACCAGATTGAGATTAAAGTTTGAAAAATTTCCAGGAGGAAAACAGCGTGTTGCAAAACAGTTCACTGCAGTAAGGACTGGTGACTTACAGTGCAATCCTAGACAGAGTTAAATCCTTATAACATGATTGCAAATAGTTGTGTTTGTCTATTGCAGCACGGTAAAACAAAAATCTAGTGGCATCTTAAAGACACTTATTTCAATATGACCTTTCATGGTTCACATGGCCCATTTCTATTGAGAGAAATGTTGTTAGTCTTCAAAGTGCGACTAGATTTTTATTTTATTTTACCTTTCTAAATCCATCGAGTCCAGGACTGCACTGTCATATTTCAAAGAAAATGAAATCTGGATTTTAAATATCAGAAAATATCCAGAGGACAGAGAATCAACAGTCGTAAACTGGGAAGAAATCGTCACACAAGAAAGCTGTTTCTGTACAGAGTTACTTGTACTTTTGTGGCAATGCTCTAAATTCAATTGACATTTGGAAAGCAAATTAGGCCTTACCCATGTATAGGATTCCATCTGAACTGCGACAAGGGGATGCTTGAACCAGCTCAGGAATGGTGAATGGCAGTTTCTAGAATATATAATTTCACTTTAGATAACTTTATTGTGACACAAGTGTGGTTAGAAGAGGAAAAAAAAGAGATCAGCAGGCTTTGTGGTAGTACATTTAAGAGTCTCACAGTAACTTTAAAGAGATTTGGAGCTTGCCTATTCTTGTGGTTCTACGCACGTCATTGCCAGTTGGAATTATCTATAATACACATCTCCCCTGCATCACATGACGTGGCAACCTCCTGTACCAGTAAAGTTGTGTGAGTAACTTTTCACCACTACAATGTACCACATAAAAAAACAATGTACCACAAAAAACACACAACTAAAACAATGTACAATGTACCTGGGGATTAATTTGGTCTTTGTCTTATTTATTCTTACATTTTTGTTTTAATTATTAGATCTAAGGGTCCTTCCCCTTTATTATACACAGTAATATTGTTCACATTCTCAAGACATGATCTAATTGTCTTTTTGTGCAAACATAGGAAAAAGCAGCAGATATTATCTCTCCCTGCTAATGTTCAAATGAGCATTTGTTACAATGGAAGTGGATGACAATTTAGATGTCTGCTTACCCCAAAAACATCCCGACATGCACAACAACGTGTACTGGCTATGGAGTTCTGGCTATGGAGTTCAAAGATTTGCAGCCTGGGTGTTGCCAGAACCTCAAACCTTTCAGCATGAGCCAAACACCAAGAGCTTGTAGCTCAGGGCCCCTGAATGAACCAGGTTGCTGGATCCAGAGCCTGCCTTTGGTGTGCCATCTTTTGGTTATTTTGTATATCTGAAGTATATTTTGTTTAAATTGTTTATTCAAATTATACTTAGGTAGAACCAAACCTGCTTTGAGCCCCCAATGAAAAAAATAAGCAGACTAATAAACTGTCTAAATGTTTAAAATATGTTGTCATGCTTCGGGGAGGGGCTATGGCTCAGTGGTACAGCATCTGCTTTGCACGCAGAAGATCCCAGGTTCAATCCCTTGCATCTCTAGGTAGAACGACCTGGTGGTGACTGAAAGACCTCAGACCCTGGAGAGCTGCAGCCAGTCAGAGAAGACACTATGGGCCTTGATAGACCAGGCGGCTTCATGTCTTCAAAATGAACCTCACCAATTGCAGCATGTTGAATATCCATTCAAACAGTGCCTCAGGGCCACATTAGATGTGCACCAAAACAGCTGTTTTGGCACTTGAAAAGACGGTAGAGGTGGTGGGTGGACGGTGGTGGGGAACAAGATCTCCCAAGTCCTCAGGCCCTTGCAACAATTTTTAAATGACAAAATCTTCCTCTGCAACGTGGTCAGCAGCAACGGATTGGTCCCATGACTGCTGTTATGTCTAGTTTGGCCCACAGTATTTATGTGCATGAGCTTACACACAGATCCAGTAGAGTCTAGATATCCTTGCTCAGAGATACAAGTTCCACAGACTTGGCAGGGGAGGGCCCAAAACCTCAAGAATGGCAGCTCTAAGACATCTGCACACACACCAAAATGTTTTTTTTAAGCCACTTCATGTTTCAACTTCCTTTTCTGTCAGCAGGGCATGGAGATACTTCTCCTGCCTCACAGTACAAATATGTCAACGCTGGACACAAAATATTCCCAAGAAACTGGTGACAATACCGAAGTAGAAGAAGAAGAAAAGAAAAGAAGAGATTGGGTTTATACCTCACCCTTCACTACCCAAAGGAGTCTCAGAGTGGCTTACAATCTTTTTCCGTTCCCCTCCCCACAATAGACACCCTGTGATGTAGGTGGGGCTGAGAGAGCTCTCTCGAGAACTGCCCTTGAGAGAACAGCTCTGAAAGAATTTATGACTGACCCAAGGTCACACCAGCAGCTTCATGTGGAGGAGTGGGGAATCAAACCTGGTTCTCCCAGATTAGAGTCTGTGCTCTTAACCACTACACCAAACTGCACATTTTTTTTAACTTTCTGGTTGCAGGAAATAAAAATCACACAGCTGCTTGCTACCCTCAAGGCTATAATGTACTTCAAAAATCAAGCATTGTGCATTCCACTGTATAATGCTTATCTACATTCTAAAGGCAGAGATTAAAAAATGTGATGTTCAGAAAAATTTGCCACCTACATAACAGACAAAAAAGTATAACTAATTAAAATGTGTCTTTTGAGCATCTGAAAAGGGAAACGATGAATATAAAGTTATAAGAGGAAGTCATAACAGCTTCTAGGAAAAGAAACTGGTAGGAAGCAGATATTTATCTTTATTTCATCATACAGCAGTAGCTCTTAAGCAAGTAGGCAGGCAACATCTGTCTAGGGGTCAGTTCTTGCCCATTTAACACTTTATGTACTTTCACAGAAGGGAACTACAGAGGCATCTTGTGCTGAAATTAGTACGCGAACTGATACAAACCCCTCCCCCACATTGTTTCCTGGTACAGGCTGGATTTCTCGACACAGCTGTTTAATACCTTCAGGCAATAATTGTTATGGCTCCGCAAAAAATGCTCCAGGAACCACTTAATCTCCTTCAAATGCTGCACATGTAATGTAATGTAATGGGGGGGGGGGAGATAAGCCAAAAAGCACGTGTCTATTAGAAAACCAAATCAGTTTTACTGAAACACATAAGGCACTGGGTTTCTTCGGCTTCCCCTGCCCCACCAGGATTGGGAACCCAGAGAAGCAGGTGTCTCCATTCCTGCCATCGGCATCCTGAACTGGCGCCAGCACTTCATAAAGTTGCCCAAACACTACATGATTTTGGGAACCACAAGAACGACATATACAGAACTTTACAGCTTTTTGAGAAAAGAAACACCTAAACCTCTGGGCAAACCAAATATCAGTGTCTGCTGCCTAGAAGAACATCAAACCGTATATTAGGTGACAACCTGTCTGCATCTTTTAAAATGCCTGATGATTACATTTTTATTTGCTACGTCATTTCCATATGCTGTACTGTCTTAAAGCAGCGCTTGGGATCTGGAGGAGCTAGCCATTTCCATTGAGACCCAGAGGAGTGTACTGCTCTGAGGGCAGGACTAGGATCTGGGAGACCAAGGCTCAGATCCCCATTCTGCCATGGAACTTTGGGGCAGTCAACATTGGTGGGAGAAGTGTACATCATTCTTCACCTTGCTTCTACCTTTTGCCTTTCACACCAGATTCCCCTCCCAACTCCCACTGTATAGATCATCCAAACAAGGCAGCATAAATGGGTTTGCCATTGTCATGTACAGTTTTGGCCTCTGAATCCCTTGCAAGTGTGGAACATTCCACAGCAGACAAGCTGATGTGGGAAGGCTTTTCGGAGAATACAAATGACTGGATAGTGCCTGGCGATGAACATCAAACTTTTTTTAGGGAACTGTTCCTTTAGTTTCATTTCAGCTTTTCATTTTTAAATAAAACGTTACAGGCTTTGCTAACTTTGCTATAACAGCCAGGTGTGGGAGTATTCATGCAGCACTTAAAAACAAACCTTAAGAGACAGCTGCAAAACTACCCCCATCCCTTGCATTCTGTAAACTTTAATTTTTTACTTTTTCCTGTTAAAATAAAAAAAAGTTCTTTGAAGGCTCCCTTTCTGTAGAAGTATACCCCACTATTATATTTTTAAAAACATAAAAGCTGTGAACAGGGCAGCCTTTGGTAGAAGCGATATCTTCCGAACAGCCAGACTAAGTGTTACCAGAGAAGCGTGTTTTTGGTCACCTGCAAAAGCCTGTGTCATTCTGTGAGATCAACACAGCTATCGTCAGATCAAATTATACGTACAGTCAAGCCTTCATTATTCTTGCCGCCAAGAGTGTACAGACTGCCGTCATTAGGGTCGGGAAGAAAAGCCGGTCTAGGAGTTAAGAAACAATGAAAACATGAATAAACGAATTTGCATTTGTGAGATCAGAAAGCAGAATGGCGGTTCTCAGGGAAGGCAGCTGCTTCCTTTCAGAAAGACAAATCGTACTATTTTCCTACCCCTCAAGGACGAAAAACAGCATAGGGTATCTGGTTTTAACTTGGTATAGCAAATTGCACCGCCAAGCTTTCAGCGCAGTCCCAGTCCCATATGCAACTGTATAATCTGTTCAAAAATCACACGGCACACTTCGACTTTCATTTGAAGTTTAGTTTGGTGGGTTTATTTCAGGCTTTGGAGGCCCCATAAACCTACCTCAAAACATGACCTTTTGAAATATGTGGCTGCTTTCATAAAGTAATAAACCGCCGGATCTAGTAAACATGAAATACCAATATGTTTGCTGATAAGAGGAACTGGAGTAAAGAAAAAGAAAAAATCTCAAAAACTACCTAAGCACATCCTGTGCCCAAGAACTTTCATTCACTGCTACTTGAATAATTAGAGCGTGAGTCTGAATTTTATTTAGGTGTTCTGAAAGAGACTGGTCTACACATGTAGGTGATCTGGGCGGTAGAATCCTGAACTGAAAGATGTTTCCCAATCCAAAACTTCCTGGAAAGTAAAAGCTTGCACATCAGGGGATAGTCTAGAGAAGGCATGACAGGATTCTTCTTCTTCTTCTTGCTTGTAGGAAGTTTTCTTTCAAAAACCGACAAAACCTGAAGGAAGCATTAAAAAGGTGGCCCCCACACCACCTGCATTTTGGAGTGATATAGTCCATTCTGCCACCTCAGAACTCTTATCACCTCATTTTGCTACATCTGTAAACCAGACCAGATTTATGCAGAGAGTGAGCTGTTGTGAGGATAAAATGGTAAGAGAGGAAACTGAGCTATGTTACCTTGAGCTCCTTGTGGGATAAAAATGTGCTAAATAATCCTAAATAATTCTTAATATGGAGCTATGGTGCCTGCTAACGTGCTTCCTGGTGCCCTGAAGCATCTCTTCTCCAAAGCAAAGATTCAGTCCAGGCTTTCCTCTACTCCATCAAAATAGGAGTTTCTTCAAAACAGCCCACAAAACATCAGCTTTGTGTCTGTACAGGCCATCAATTTGGAAACAGCTTCCTCCATTATAGGAGCATACTTGGCTTGGAACTGCCTAAAGTGTTGTGGAACCCGCTCATGTTCCTCCTATTGTTAGTCTCCATGGTACCCATTTTGTGACTAGTCTCATTCCCCCATGGCAGCCATATGATTGTTCTCAAAAATCTGGAAGTGCCCATGGGTCTAACAAAGTTCAGAACCCCTGTACTACAACCAACATGAAGAAATGTTGCATCTAGCTGACCCCAAAATTAATCTGGACTAACTGTAGAATTTCCCATGATTTCACGAGCTCTGCTCAGAGCCCTTTAGCAGTGCACAGCCTAGCACACAGAGAAATTTAGCAGGTAACTTAATTCTGGTATCGGGGATAAGTGAGACTGGACAAGCTTCATTTGCGTATTTCTACGAGTCTACTATTTAAAGCACATGCCAAGCCAGTAAAGATGACAATCTTACTTGACTGTCTGTCAGTCATTTAAATGGGATAATGTGCTGGGAACCATTATGCTGAATATGGCTTTTCATGTGGCTTTTCATATTGTAAAGTTCTGCAACCCAAAAAGCACTCTAACAGCCGATCCTAAACACACTCGCTTGGAAGCAACCACTACAGAAATCAATGACACTTGTCTCCGAATTCGTGTGGCTGGCTCAAGCTCTTCAAAGGGCGCAAGTCAGCCTACTTCAAATGGAAACACAACCAAGTATTTTAGAGAAGTGTTAACCACATGAAAGATATTTTTTGCTTTGTTTTATACTACTATGTTTTGCGGGCTATGTTAGCAATGAAATGGTAAGATCTTGTCTTGCCTTCCTAGGAGAAACACTTTGGCTACAGTCTAAAACTGTGCATGCGCTAAATCACAGCAAAGCAGCCAGGTAAACACTCAGGTTTTTCCTGCCCATTTAATATTCAGTGGCACCTAGGGCTGCCAAATGCCCCCGGGGGGCGGATTTCCCCCCGATTTCGAGCCCAGTTTTCCGCCCCCGCGGAATCGGGGCCCGGGGGAAACCCCACCCCCGCGTGCACGTCACCCAGATGTGATGTCACACGCTGGGGCAAGGCCACAGCCATTTGAGGGGAAAACATAGAGTTTTCCCCTCAAATGGCTGTGGCCCCGCCCCAGCCTGTGACGTCACATCCGGGTGACAAAGATGCGGTGCGCACGCGCGCACCGGGAGATGGCCAGCGATCCCCTGCCGAGGAGGTAAGAGAGATTTGGCAACCCTAGTGGCACCATGACAAATGCACGGACTATTTTGCAGTTTGATAAAGAGAGCCGCTGAGGATGAAATAGACTCAGGAAAACAATGAGGCATTTTCATATGTCCTGCCCGTGTGCGTATAATTTACCTTGGTGAATTATGGGCTTGGATATTATGACATCATATATTTATTCATTATAAGGAAAGAGAGAGATACATCATTCCCGTTATGAGAAAAGAAAAGCTTCCTCTCCTTCCTTGGGTAGTTTCAGTGCTTTTGTCTGATAACTTCCCTGACAATCAAACCACGGCTATAGTGGCTTCCTTTCTAGCTGCGGTGATTAAGAAAACAGATCTCCCTGAGTTTAATTAGTTTATTGCTGATAACTGTCGACCTATATACAAATTTGATAATTTTAAGTGTGTGCTGGTTTTTGTTGTTGTTGTTGTTTTGGTGTTGTTTTTTTATTCTGTACAGTTGCTATGGCTTTCTTGCTAATGCAATAAATATTATTATTATTATTATATTTATTCATTTAGGACATTTATTTGTCACCTCTCCAGAGACCTGCTTGAGCTGACTTTCAATAAAACCAATGTATATTATCAACATAAAAACAAATCAAGCCACTGAAGACAAACCAGGGACATAAAAACAGCATAAAGTATCTGTAAAACAGGCCTCAGAACAAAAGTAGACCTTAACACTTCTAAAAAGATAAAAAGGATCGAATTAAAAGGATCCTATGATACTGTTCCTTCTCACTTCTCTACGGTTACAGTGAGCCACTATAGTGCTTGCTTCCTTTGCTGCTAGCACTTCTATGTGCATGAGGGCTCCTCGAAAAACATTGATCTTGCACATGCAAAAGTGTTGGCAGCAGAAGTAGTGAGCATCACAGCAGAGAAAGGCCTCTGCAGTGGCTGGACAGAAGCACGAGTGGAACAAAATCACAGGATCCAAGCTGTCGTCTTGGTGTCAGTTATTTGGGCCAATTCAATTACCAGTTTGATTCAGACAGAATGGCAAACCACGGTTCTATATGGATATGGATTCTTGGGCCTGTACACTCCCTTCCACCACGACAGAAACTGCCAGATATTTCTGCTTTTGTGGCAATGTCCAAAAGAACAAACTATAGTCTGTACTTACTTCCCCAACCAGAAGTTCAAATAATGGTTTATTCCCTGTTTAGAATCCTAGTTTATGAAGAAAGAACAAGCTATAGTTGCTGGTTTGGACATAACAACAACCCATGATCTGACATCAAAGCAAAAGCCATTCATTAACTGTCTGTCTGTGAGTAAAGGAGGGAGGGAGAGAAGGGAGTATGAAAGCCTGATGATCCTTCTAGGCTAACCATGGTTTGCCAATATGTTTGAAATGAACCAATATTAAGATGCCTATATTTACCACAATTCTCAACTTGTCAATGAAAACCAAGTTGTAACCTAGAGACTCAGGCAAAATAATAATGAAGATGACTTACTCTTCTACATGTAATGGCACCTGAAGTACAGGATCTGCAAAAACAAAAAGAGAAAAAGTAAAGGTCCAAGCTATTGAACATCCAGATTGCACACCAAGGTTGTAGACTATAATATATAGGGTTGCCAACTGTGGGTTGGGAAATACCTAGAGATTTTGGGGGTGGACCCTGGAGAGGGAGAGGGTTGGGGACGGGCAAGACCTCAGTAGGGTATAATGCCATAGAGTTCACCCTCCAAAGCAGCCCTTTTTCTCCAAAGGAACTGCTCTGTGTCACCAGGGGATCAATTCTAATTCTGGGAGATCTCCAGGCCCCACCTGGAGACTGGTAACCCTACTTCACTTCTCAGGGAGATCAGAGGTTTGCAAGAAGAAATTCCAAATAGCAGCAAGATTCAGTCATGAAATGGCTGGATGGCAGAGTTATGTTAACGATTCTATTATATATTATTATATGGTATATTATATTGTACTATATATATGTTATGTAGTCTTCATGGCCTCCTCCTGTCTTCCAGGAGAATTTTTTATTAGATGCGCATTTAGGGTTGCTGGCAGGGGACGCCAGCCTGAGTTCCTGCATTTTTGCACGTGCGCCATGATGACGTCACCTGGAAGTGACACCATCATGCCGGGCATGTCATGCAAGGGATGCTCTATGGTCACCATAGAGTTTTGGGCCAAATGATAGCATGTCCCCTCCACGACGTGCTCAGTGCAATGACATCACCTCCAGGTGATGTCATCAAACTTGGCATGACAGGGCTCTTTGGGGGCAGGGCTCCCCTGCCAGGCAGCTGGCTGGTGACAGATGGGGGGCCCTGAACTCAGGGAACCCCCGCCCCCATCAGGGGGATGGCAACCCTAAGTGCACTGTGAGTTGCCTCTTAGGAACTGAATTCCAAGGCACGCAGTGGCCTGATTTGGATCAGATCCCTGGGGGCTTAGCCTCTGTATAAATTCCCCGACTTGTATGGTTTCCCTGATCTGAAATTCCCCCAGGTAGCCAGGGGAGGTTTTATTGATTCTGGGGCCCTGGGGAAAAGTACAGGATAGGATTCCAGATTGCTTCCTTGCAGGGGCCAAGCAAGGGGTGGCCTTTATCTCATGCAAAGCCACTGGAAGCCAGCTTCCCGACCCTAGGCAGGGTAAGTGCAACGTGCTGGCATGACCCTGCTCTTCTATAAACACTGACTTGGATTAAATTCCATTAAATTTAACTGAATTTACTTTCTAGTAAGCATGCCTAGAACTGACTGGTACAATTGTTTTCTACAGGAAATCCTCTCCCTTCCCCCACCCACCAGTGCTCTCATCAATAGCTGCAGAAGCCTGAATGGTATTACTTTTGCTTCTAATGCCTGCAAATATAAAACATGCAGAAGGCATGCACAATTCATCCCCATCTGTACAGGACAGTTCTGAGAATACAACAAAACTAGATTAAAAACAGCCCCAGGATTGAACAGATAAATGCATCCATCCAGTGACTAAAGAAAACACGCCAGCTATGCCTACCCAGTGCTACAAACAACAGCTTCTTCCTCACGCAAACAAAATGATGCAAGAGCAAAGAAATAACAGATCAAGAAATCCTCTTATGGAGAGACTGTCTAGCACTAAACAATTTATTCCCCTGCATAAGTAGGGTGACCATCTTTTTCTTTTCTGCCAGGGCCAAACAGGTGGAGCTTTCCCTATCACTGAATGTAGTTGACACAGAAAACCACAACTGTTGAATTTCTGCCTCTCGAACAGCTGTTTAAAGGCCAAAAAAACCCTTCAAAACTCAAAAATGTCCTACCAGAAACATGGAACAAAACCTATACATAGGACCGACATTTTTTGGTAGGAAACTACATGGATACTTTAATGTGTTAATGTGTAAGTCCTGGGGTCATTTAGTAGAAAAAGAGGTGCAGGAGCTCATTTGTATAACTCATTTGCAAAAGGCACACCCCCTGACAAAGGGCAGACATGCAAGCATGCCTGGGTTCCTTACCTGATCTTCTCCAGGCGCCCCGTGGCTGTGTGGCATGTGGAGAAGACTGGGCAGGGAACCCAGGCATGTTTAAAATACCTTTCTTTCCCTCCCCAGAAGGGAAATAAAGGCATTTAAATCCCCCCCCACTTCCCCGAGTTTCTCCACAAAAGTGGAGAGGCTCAGGGGAAAAAGGGGACATGTCTGCCCGCCTCCCCTCCCCCTCCCCTCCCCAGTCAGGCAGGAAGGCAGGCAGGCAACAGACACCACAGCCAAGGCAGAAACCATGGCCGGGGGGGGGGG